AGAAGACCTTGGGTGGGGCCCCTGCACCTGTATGTTTAACCAGCCTCTGAGGTGTTTAACCCTCCAAAGTTTGGAAACCTCTGCTCCAGAGTTTATTGGATCCCAAGTCATTGTTATCAAAAGCAAAACAGTTTTCAAAACATTTCTAATCATGCTGGAACCAGGTGGGCAGTTGCTGCAGACAGCAAGCAACACAACTGAGAAGCGTATGAGAAGCCAATAAGACTGAGAGAGACAGGTGCTGGCTGGAGAAGAAGAAAGGTGAAGGCATACCAGGTAGAGAGAAAGGCAGGAACAGTTTAGCTGATAGGCTGAGTATGCAATCACGGGCCCAGTTACACAGCGACTGAAGCCCAAGGTCATGGCAGGCAAACAGTTCTTTGGGAACCTGGAAGGGTAGCACACATATGCAGGGAAAAGAACCTTGCTTTCAGAGTTCCTGTTCCAGCCAGGCTTCTGGCAAAACGTCTTGAGTCACCATCTCCTGGAATCCTGTTACCACTGGGAAATGGCCCAGAGAAAGTCATACCCCCTCCATCTACCTTGATAGAGACATGGTGGAGTCAATGGTGAGATCTACAGAATGCCTCCAGTGGTGGATGCACTTAAAGGCCCTCCGTGGATGAGAGGACATTCAAAAATGCTTTGTAAAGCTAAAGCATTAAACAATGGTAAACCTTATTACTCTGATTCTCCTGGCTCTCATCTTTCCTGATGCCTTCCACCTTGAGATAGTATTCTTGTGACCCTGGATGATTCTGCTCAGCTCCTTCTTATAGGCTGCATTGTGTTGGGTAACAGTTTATAAGTGCTCAGCTACTGACATTGACGTCTTGAATATGAGGCAGCAGGTATTTTTTTTTCTTTCTTCTTTTAAATCAGTGTGCAACCTTTTCTTCCTCCCCCACCCTCCTCCTCCCTGAGTCACTGTTCATGAACTCTCTTCTCACAGATACTCCTGTCTTGATCGCCCATGAAATGGTTTTCTTATGCTGCAAGAAACAATAAGTGTACTTGCAAACAAATACTTCTGCCTGATGACTACCCCTCCTGAACTGAAACAGAGCCTCTAGTACAGGTGACTGATATACCATTTTCCAAACTCATCTGCTCTATTTTGTTTCTGCAAAGCGTAAGGCGGTTTCTGAAAAAAACTGTTGCCCTTCAGGAAGTTGAAAAGTTTAGGGATGAACATAAACATCCTGTGCTTTCTGTAAGCATTCACTTATTGATCATGAATCAATGTAACCTATTCTCAAACAGGTGTTTATTTTTCCCCTGCAATTATTGGTTCATTCCCTTGACAAATTTTTTTTTGGGGGGGGTAGAATGTAATGCAACAGTTTTTAATACTAGTTACAGAGGTCAGTTAAGAACATGAAAATGCTACTGATTAGATACCAAGGAAAAAATAGAATACAAAATGATATATACAGGATGATTAAAACTATGTAAATAAAAACACACATAGGAATTTATTTTTTTACCAAAATGATCTATTTATTTTTTAATAATTTTTTTATTATGTTAGTCACCATACAGTACATCATTAGTTTTTGATGTAATGTAGATTCATTGTTTGCGTATAACACCCCATGCTCCATGCAATACATGTCCTCCTTAATACCCATCACCGGGCTAACCCATCCTCCCACCCCCCTCCCCTCTGAAACCCTCAGTTTGTTTTTCAGAGTCCATAGTCTCTCATGGTTTGAGAACTATCATATAGCAGGTCCTGAGCTAGGCCTCAGGGGTACACTGGTAACCAAAATGAAGAGATGCATAACGCTGAGTCAAAAGCCAAAGATTAATTAGCTAAGAATTCTGCCTAGCACTATTCAACTTAGTAGAGCTATCTGGTCACTATAATTTATTCAGTATCATGGACCGGAATCTTTTTGCTGAGTTTTGAGTGTATAGTATTATCCTGATCAGCACTGAAAGAACTTTGAGTATCTCTTAAGACTGTTGAAGTTAGTGAATTAGATTATTTAATGTTTTAAATAGGTAACACATTCACACAGTCCAAAATCTAAAAGGTACAAGAATGTAAGTGAAATGTCTTTCTTTTACCTCTGTTCTCCAATACCCAACACCCCTCCCTGAAGGAATCAATTCAGTTAGTTTAGTGGATATCCTTGTTTTATCCATATTTTAGAGTAAGGATTCTTAACTAGATTTGTAACTTGAGAAAAGACCTCTTCTTGATCCTGTGGTAACTGTCCTTCTAAGACTATATCCTGTTCTACAGGACTTATATGAATCAGAAGTTCAGATTTTATTTTCCAGATGAGTATAGTGTGAGTTGTTCTCAAGAGGGAAAAGAATGGGAAAAGCAACTAGAAGAGACATGCAAAAATATATTTTACTGTTAATACTCTTAAAAGTATTTCATGCCATCAAATAGTCTCTGACAAACAAAGTTATACTGTCATGTTTTAAAAGTCTGGTTTCCTAAGGAAAACTATACCTGGTTCTATCAAGATTATGAAAATAATAGTCCTTGCTAAGGGCTATGTAGTGTTTATTTAAGCTTCACAACAATCACATGAAGTATATACATTTCATAGGTGAAGAAAATGAAGGGATAGCAAATATAAGTTCTCAAACCTAGACCAGGGCTCTAGTGCGCTCACTCTAATTTGCATGATACTCATTATCCATCCTAATAGAGAACAGCCAAAAGAAGGCACGTAGCAATATTTTGTTTATACATTTTTGTTGTTTATTCAAAATCTTTATTCTCAAATTTTAGGATCCATCAAAATTACTCACGATATTTAAATGCAGGTTCCCAGGCCCTGGCACTGACTTAGAGAATTAGAATCTCTGAGAGAAGGGCTCCAGCCAGGCATGCTTATTTTAACCAGTACAGGCAGGTGACATTAAGCCGGCTGGCTCTATGCACAGTGACAACTGTCATACCTGTGACAGTTTATGTTTTCCAAAATTGGCCACAATCGTATCTTCCAACACACACATACTATGTTAGTTTCTAGAATCTCTCCACTCCCCTTTCAGGAGGTGGAGTCCATGCCCCATACCTTTGAAACTGGGTGGGTTTTTGTGATTAGTCAACCAACAGATTATAGTGGGAGTGATGCTATGTGACTTTCAGGACTAGGTCAAAAAAAGACAATTCAGCTTCTGTTTTTGCTAGTTAGAACACTCACTCTTGGAACCCAGCTACCAGGGAGAGGCCCACTAGGAGAGAAGCTAATAGCCAGCACCAACCTGCCAGCTATGTGAGCCATCTTGGAAATGGATCTGGGCCCAGTCAGGCTGCCCAGGCTGACACAGCACAGCATGGAGCAGAGATGAGCCTTCCCTGCCAAGCCCTGCCCAAACTGCAGATTCAAGAGCTAAGTAAATGATCGTTGTCGCTTTAAACAGGAAGTATGAGCCGGTTTGTTAGGCAACAATAGGTAAGTGGAACAGCACACTTCTAACTTAATATTCACTCTGCTTTTCTTCCTATCAGGGTGAATTCTCCTGAGCCCTCTCTAAAATATTCTGAAAGTATCCTTGTCCAATGTCATTTACTTTCCCAGATTCTTCTTCCCAGATTCTAATCACAGAACCACTTATTTCAGACTTCTGGTTATGTGAGATTCTCATTATTACCTCTGAGGCTTGGTTTCTCATCTCAAAAGCACTGGTAATAACAGAACCCACCTCATGAGCTTTATAGTTAGATGAGATGATCCATGTAATCATTTAGCATTGTGCCCAGCACATAATATTCTCTTATTTTTACTAGGTTTCTTGCATTCATAGTCTCCATTTCTTTAATGCAATGTGTGTGTGTGTGTGTGTGTGTGTGTGTGTGTGTGTACACACATAGACTTTTTCTTGTAGTCCCATGCCATTTTATAGGCTATTTCCTATGCCTGACATGCTCTTCCCTACTGGGTCTGTTAGACTTACTCACCCTTGAGGGCAATTCTTCTTCTTTGGGAAAGCCTTCTCTGACTTCTCAATTAATGCCTCTCTGGGCTCAAACAGCGCCTTGGAAGAACCTCTACTATAGCCCTTAACACACTGGGTTGTTAATTAATTACTTGTCTCTCTTCTCCATTGGACTGGAAGGCAGTATTGTCTTCACCCCCCAACACAGCACCTGGCACATCCATACTCACCATCTACGTTTGTGCTGTGCTAGGAAACACTGTGGTTAGGCAGTCAAGGGATCCATGTTTTGGGAGACCTGCTCGGGGTCAAAACAGCTCCATTTTCTCCTGCATAATCTTGGAAAATATTAGTTGACATTTCTGAGCCTCATTGTAGAGACACTTTCTTAAGATTTCTGTGAAGTAAAATACCTGTGAAAAGCCTATCCCAGAGCAAGCAAGCAGTCATCAAACGTCACAAAATGCTTTTCCAACAGTCCCATTTTCAGGCATCGCCACTCTAATCTTCCTTTAGGGCCCTGCGCTCCATGGGTAATCCCTCTCTCAGGGATTACTCTGGGCTCTCTAATCCTGTCCTCGGTCATTCCTCCAGCTAGCAACTCTGCGTTCAGAAGCCAAATCCCTGCACCCCAACTCTCTCCAGACCCTTTCTTTCAGCCTTCCCTGAGCTTAAGGGGCCCGATTTACGTGAAATTTAAAAATCAAAATTTAAATATCAAAACTCTATGACTAGGGTATCCCTGGATAACTTCCGAGACCCGCATTTAGGAGAATGGCTACTGAGTTTCAGTCTTCCACCTCCCTTTGAGGAAGGAGCCCGCGGCTCAACTTAACCGGAGTCGTTCCCCGCTGCGGCCGCGCGCAACACAAAAACGTTGAATGAACGAACAAACAAACGGATGAATGAATGGGCTGCGCCCGCGGCTGCGCCTCTGTTACGTCGCCCACTGGCGCAGGCGTGGCCGCGGTAAGAGGCCTGCGGAGCGCCGGCCGTGTAATCCTGCCGTCGCGCGGCGGGCTCGGCCACGAGCGCCGGAGCTCCGCGCCGCCTCGCGCCTCCTCCCCCAAGTCCCTGCCCCGCCGGGGCTCGTCACTTCCGCCACCCCCAGGCCAGGACTGGGGCAGGGAACGCGGGGGAGGGGGCCAGGTCCTAGGGAAGCCCGCCCGCGCACGAGCAGGGACTACATTTCCCGAGGGGCCTCGGCGGCGGCGGCGGCGGCGGCGGCGGCGGACGCGGCAACGTCCCCCGGAAGTGGAGCCCTGGACTTCCACTCGTGCGTGAGGCGAGCGGAGCCGGAGTCGAGACCAGAGGCCGAACTCGGGATCTGACAAGATGGCCGGGCTGCCCCGCAGGATTATCAAGGTAACCGCCCAGGCCAACCCCCGGCTCTGCGCCCTGCTCTTGGCGGCTTGGCAGACCGCGCGGCGCGGCTCCTCCCTTCCTCCGGCCCGCGGCCCGCGCTGGGAGGCCGCCGCCCAGCGCGGAGAGGGTCTGGCTGTGGCGGCGAGGGAAGTCAGACGCTGGGGAGGGGGCTCCGGAGAGACTTCCGGCCGCGGTGGGGCAGCCAGGCGGCGGGGACCCGGGGCTTCCCGGTGGCCGCCTTGCGGGCGGGGAAGGCCTGGCCTGCACCCTGGCGGAGGGTGGGGCCGCGGGGTTGCGGGGTTCTAGTCTTGGGCGCGGGCCGTCGCGGGCCTCCGCGGCCTCCCAGACCACCCGGGAGGAGGCCGCAGGCGCGCGCGAGTCGCGGCGGGGCCCGGACTCCGCGCGGGAGTTGTGGCCCGACACAGCCCCTCGGCCCTGGAGCCTTCTCTCGGGCCGGGCGGGAGCGCGGGGGTGCGGAAGCCCCGGGTTCAGAATGAATGAACCAGGAGCGTGAGGCCGGGCGGGGCCCTGTGCCCCGGGAGGCGGCTCCGGGAGGGCCGCGCGTCCTGCCGCCGTAGGCACATGTTCGCCGCAGGCTGCGGGGGTCGAGGGACATGAGGCTGCGCGCCCCGCTGCTCTCGCTTTCGTGATGTCCTCTCTTAAATACGTTTCCGCTCGTTATCTCTGTGAAGTGATTTTACTCTGGTTGCCAAACTCTGAGAGCGGTTTCTGCTCAGAGGATATAGTTTAACACAACATGGGGGGGAGGGGCGGAGCAGGTATGGGGGACTTGGTGAAATCATTTGCCTCTCGATTTTATGCACTTTAATGTTTAGACTGTTCCAATACATATGGAACTGTGAAAATGGACATATTGGTTTTGTAAATCCTTTACATAATATCAGGTCCTCAGATGCGCGGTATTTCTTGCAATACGTCAAAACAAAACGTTGAAATCTCTTGTCATTTTTAATGAAAATTTTAGTTGAACTTCTGTGTTCCTTAATATGCGAGTTAAAGGGACTAAATTGCAGCATCATTTCCTTGATAGAACATGGTGAACGTGTATTTAATCTAGCTTGTTCTGAAGTTTGAGGGGAGATGCATACTAAGTTCAAGATCTTTTAATGGGTGATGTATTGTGTAGTGCTTCGTGCAACTTAAATATATCTGAGATGGGGGGATGTCTCTGACCTAGAGTTGCTTGATTTGGAGAAATAAGACTTTTTTTTAAAGATTTTATTTATTTGAGAGAGAGAGACAGCGAGAGAGGGAACACAAGCAGGGGGAGTGGGGGAGGGAGAAGCAGGCTTTCCGCTGAGCGGGGAGCCCGATGCGGCGCTCGATCCCAGGACCCTGGGATCATGACCTGAGCCAAAGGCAGGCGCTTAACGATTGAGCCACCCAGGCGCCCCGAAATAAGACTTTTTATAAGGTAGAAATTCTTAGAAATTAGAGACGTGGATAGATTGTCATTGTGTGCTGCAGTCTAATATGAACTTTCATAGTGCAAAATTTGTTGTATTATGGATTTGTCTCAGGCTCTGTCCAAGGCAGTTAAATTGCTGTATGCTTTGGATGGTCCTTACAATGTGGTTTTCCTCACAAGACCCCAATCATGTTTATTGAAGCCCCAGTTGAAAATGAGAGATGGGGGGGATCTAGCTGTACACCAGATGTCTTCAAATGTTTGTTTCCTGTATTCAGGTTATTTATTGACTACATAATACAAATTGATATTCTTAATAATTCTCCAAAATACATAATGAAGTAAAGATTTAACATTTTTTCCAGTTTTGCTTGATTCTGGACATATTCTGCGGTAATATGAAAGCCTTGGATGGAAAAATAAATTCTGTGCATTATTTTTTACAGAAATGATTTATGGCAGTGAATTGAAGGCCTCATAATTCAGTTTTTTTGGCACACAATTTAGTTTACACTAGGTATTTTCATTTTACTATTTTAACCCAGACAGTGATAATTCATAAATATGGTCTTAATTTTACAGTATCTTGTTGATAGCACCTCTTTAATAAAAGGTGACTTCATTTGGGTTTTATCTTGGAAAATTTAGGTGGTTTTACTTTAATGGTCATTTATGGCTTATCTTAAAAGAACTGTTTTCTCCAGTCCCTAGGAAAGATTGCAGAACTATAATGTGTTTTCTAGTGCTTACTATTGTTTTATGTATATTTTCCCATAATCAGTGAAAACAGTTTTTTTAAGATTTGTTTATTTGAGAGAATGTGTGCGGAATGAGTTGGGGGAGGGCAGAAGGAGAGACTCTTATGCACTTCCCCGCTGAGCATGGAGTCCCAGACTGGGCTTTGATCCCAAGACCCATAAGATCATGACCTGAGCCCAAACCAGGAGTTGGACGCTCAACCTACTGAGCAACCTGGGTACCCGAAAATGTTTGTTTTTTAATCAGAATTTTTAGAAAGTTTGCCTCTTTTTTGTCATCCGCAATACAGGATTCCGTGTGGAATATGCTGGTGGTGGTGGTGCCGGGTAGGAACACACCATCTTTCATTGGACAGCTATTAATAGGATGCTATTTATCTCTTAACTGGTCATTATTTGCATTTGCAAAATTCTTTTTTTTATTTTAAGACTTTATTTTTAAGTAATCTCTACACCCAGTGGGGGGCTTGAATCCACAACCCGACATCAAGAGTCGCACACTCCACCAACTGAGCCAGCCAGGTGCTCCTGCATTTACAAAAGTCTTATACTATTTAATACTTGTAGATCTTGATTTTGTGAAGTAGACTACTTTTATAGTCTAGAAACCCATTCAGATGACTTTCTTAGGGTCTTAAAACTGGCAAGGGATAGAACTTGGATCTTGACCCAGTGTGAACTTCCCCTGCTTCTTGTTATTATGAAATGACTATGTAAATGTACTTTGATAACTTTAACTGTACAGATATAAGATGATTTTTTTGAATTACTATTCCCTCATTTACTGTCCTACTCAGATTCCCATATACAATCCGCTAGCAAATTCCCTGGGGCGTCAACTTTCAAAATATATTCTTAATCAGCTACATTTACCCATCTCTCTCAAACCACCGTTCAATTCCATCATTTGTTGCCTAGCCTACTGTATTAGTCTCCTAAGCAGCAGCTAGTGTTACTTTCTAAAAATATAGATCATATCACTCCCCTTCTCAACTCTAGAAAGGTTCTCCACACTTAGAATAAAATCTTGACTTTTTCCCCCCGTAGTTACAAGGCCTTCCTTGCATCTGCCTACCTCTGAGGTCATCTCCTGCATGTCTGTCCTTGGGTCACTCTACTGCAACCACAATGTTGCTTTGCTCTATCTGAACAATAAGAGGCTAAGTTTGTTCCAGTCACAGGGCTTTCCTTCTGTTTACTACATTACCTGTTTTGGCGTATCGTTCAGTTCTTGGCTCACATGTCATCCTCAGAGAGGTCTACCTTAATTATCCCAAAACACAGTTTTCCTCTTCCCCTCCCTTTGAGTTCCTCATTATCCCCATATTTCCTCCTCTCCTCTGTATAGCCCTTATCACTATTTGAAGTTATATTATTTATTCTTTATCTCTGCTCCTACTAAAGCTCCACGAAGACAGGGATTCTTGGGCATTGCTCTAATACCTAGAGGATGTAGTGTAGTAGGCACTGAGATATTGAATGAATGAATGAATGTGCTTCAATCTTTAGAAGAAAGTTTTAGGAGAGTTATTCTATATCATAATTTGATGTTATTGCTTAGTAGATTTCTATCTAAATCAATGTCTGAGCTAAAAGTTAATCTCTGATTCATTAAAAAATCAATTTTTATTTTGTCTAATAGGAAATACATGGAGTGCAGCATTTGAAAGGTTCTAACAGGTACATAGAGAAAGTTAAAGACTCTCATCTGCCCTTCAGCATTCCAGTTGCCTGCCCAGACAACCATTATTTTTATTGTGTATTCTTCCAGAAAGACCAGAGAGATTTAGTATGTATATTTAGGCCTGTTCCCCTCCTCCTGATGCAAATACTTTAATTTCCTCACCCCCCACCAATCTTTTTTTTTTTTTTAAGATTTTATTTATTTGAGAGCGAGAGAATGAGAGACAGAGAGCATGAGAGCGAGGAGGATCAGAGGGAGAAGCTGACTCCCTGCTGAGCAGGGAGCCCCATGTGGGATTCGATCCTGGGATGCCAGGATCATGACCTGAGCCGAAGGCAGTTGCTTAACCGACTGAGCCACCCAGGCGCCCCGCCCCCACCAGTATATCTTTGAGGCCACTCATTTTTTAAAGGGGTTCTTTGTGGAACCATGTGGTTAGACCTTAATTTAACCAATTGTTTATTGCTGACTTAGATTGTCTCCAAAATTTGCTATAGAAAATGCTGTGATGAATAGTTTTATAGTTAGTGGTATTTTGCACATGTGTGAGTTATACTGAATCTTGGCAGTTCTTTGTTTTGCTTGAATTTTAGAATTTGCTTTTTTCTCTCTTCTCCTTGGCCAGAACTCTTTTAGTCTCTAAAAGTGACTGAGCAATTAAAGCTTAAAATCACGTAGGTTAAAAGAAACTAAAATAAGTCCTTCCTAATCGGTTCCTCATAAAGAATTAGAGTTACTTTGGGAGCAGGTAAATGAGATCTGTAGTTGTGGCCTTGGTCAATAATTTATTTGATTTACAGTTTAGGGGCACCTGGGTGGCTCAGTTGTTAAGCGTCTGCCTTCGGCTCGGGTCATGATCCCAGGGTCCTGGGATCGAGCCCCACATCGGGATCCCTGCTCGTCAGGAAGCCTGCTTCTCCCTCTCCCACTCCCCCTGCTTGTGTTCCCTCTCTTGCTATGTCTCTCTCTGTCAAATATATAAATAAAATCTTTAAAAAAAAAAAAAGATTTACAGTTTACATGTTACTTTAACAGAATGATGTTCTGTTGTCTTCTCAAAGTTAATTGTGAAGACAGTAAAATACAGCTTTGGGAACAATAGTTAACTTACTCAAGGAGTTGACTTATT